AGCCTATACCCTGCTCTACCTGAAACCAAGGGAGAAAAGGAGTTCCACCAAGTTGGAATAAGGGTTGAGAACGAGTCTTCTTCTAGCTAGGCTAATTCAAATCTAAAAGGCTTTTGTCCTCTCCTGACAGCTTGAGTGTCCAGAAGGATGGGGAAGTGGTTCGAGGTGGGTTTAGGCAGGGATAGAGCATGTGTTCCCAGAAAACGTTCCTCCCAATTCAAGGAGAGGAAGAATCTATCCAACTTAGAGAGAGAGGGTTGGGATGAGTGGTCTGATCAAGTGAAGCGGTTTCCTTGGAGGGGGATATCTAGGAATTCGTTACGAGAGGTGAAGTTCGAGAAGTCCATCATTCCCTGAGAATTGATGGAGTTGGAATTTCTCTTGTGGGACCATCTAGTGATATCGAATCCCCACCCAGGTACCAAGTAGGATGGGGTAGGGAAGCTACATGGTCCAGTTCAGCCCAAAGCAAAGGTCTAAGAGAAGCGGAGTTCCGTAAATAGCTGAGAATTTCCAGGGGAAATCATCGGATATGCGTGAAAGAAGAACTATGACCAAGTACTCCCCAATGTAGGAAGAAAGGAGTAAGTGTTCTAATGGGTTCCAAACACCCATATTCCACCTGATGCCCTGACTGCAGGCAAAGACACCCACTGGTAAGGCCTTCTTCCCCAGACAAGACGAATAAGTTGGAGGGTAGGGTCCGGCTGTTTGGTCTCAATAAGAGCTAGGATTGAGGGAAAGTGTTTTACTGTCATATCCTTGACAGCCTCCCTTTTGGAAGGCTATCCCAACCCTCTTACATTCCACGTAAGAATTTTCATGGTTTAAAAGTGGGAGCAAAAGAGGGGGCAAGTCTTACAAACCTCCTCGGAGAAGAAGCCCAAGGGGGAGGGGAGAGGGGGTTGGCGAAGGGGGCTCTTCTATGGAGGGTTTATCGTAATTGATCGAGGAGACTAGGTTGAGAAGCTCCCTTTGTCCTCTAAAGCTCACCTTAAGACGGCTTTGAGCGTCCGAGAGTAAGAATTGGTGTGCCAATCCTTCAGAGCCTTTGCGTTGGAAACCCATGATACGATAGATTTCCTTCATCTTGTTAAGTTCATTGTTATTCCCATCCCTATTGACGCCCTCAGCATTGGCCTCGGCTGAAGGGGGAGAGATCAGGGGGCGTAGGTGACCTGGGGTTACCCCTGACTAGAGAAGTGGGCAAAGAGAAAGGGTTAGTAGGGTAGAGGTCAGGAGGAGGAGTTCAAGGTTAGAAAGCGGGGAAGGAACAAGGAGGAAAACGGGGCTAGGGGAAGCAGGAAGGGGAAGGTCGCAAGTAAAAGAAGATGGGGAGGATGGAGGGCTGGGCGTTACATCAAGGGGCTGCAGGAGGGGACAGGCCAGAGGTTAGATTACTCTGGAACAGGGTAGGGAAGGTGGGGGAGGGAGTCTAATGGAGATAGGACGGAGTTAGCGAGGGGTAGAGAGGAGGGCTAAGAAAGGAAGCAGGTAAAGGGTAGAGAAAAGAGGGGTGATAAGTAAGGAAGTGGTGAGACTAGGGGTACAAAGGAGGGATTAGACTAAGGACGAGTGGAGGGTTAGGTAACATGCAGAGTTCGAACGCTGCAAATGTGAACCAAGTGAGGGGTAAACGAGAAGTGAGGGGCTACCAAGAAAGAGATCAGGGCTGAGTCAGGAGGAGAGGGGTCCATGGAGTGCACTGCCATGATGCCAAAGGGAAACTGAGATCTATCCATATCGGACAAGGATGGAGAAGGGGTTGGTGGCTTGACAGGCTGAGGAGGAACTACCTAGGTGGCAAAGTGCAGAGGTAAGAAGGTCAGGGAAGAGAAGGGTGTAGAAGACGAAGGAACAGATGGGGGTAGGAGAGCCAGGGGCAAAGGTTCAAGAGGTTCGAGGGGTAAAGGAGAAGAGAAGGGGTTTGGATCCACGTGGATGGGCTCCTGGCTAGGATTCTTGATGAGGGAGAGGGTTGTAGGGTGGGGGGAGTTCTGCAAAGAGGTAGAGGAGGGTGCCAAAGGGAGAGGGAAGGAGAAGGGCGCCAAGGGGAGAGGAGAGCGTGGGTCAACCAAAGAGTCACTAAGGGTGGAGTGGGAAAGAGAGGGTGGTGGGGGTAGAAGAGAGAGGGGGGCAAACGAGGCGTCTGAAGTGGCTTTATAGTGATCGTGGTCTCGAGACTCGAGATGAGGCCAGATGTCACCAAAGGGGTTGAGGGTTGAGGGTGGAGGGCGGTGTCTCTTCGACTGACGGCGAGGAAAAGACAATGGTAGGAGGAGGCGACGGATGAGAAGACAGGGGCGATGAAGGGTTGCATGAGGTCAACGGGTGGGATGATGAGGGCAGGGATTGATTATGTGAGGGTGACAGGTGGGAGGGATGATGAGAGTGGCACAGGGTGAAAAGTGTCAGGTTGGCATGGGGAGAGGCAGAAGGAAGTGGGGGCAAAGTAAACAGGTGTTGAGCGAGCAAGAGGGGTGCTTAAGATCTGAGCCAAACAAGATGAGTCCTCATACGGGAGGGGCCAGCTGTCTGGGAGAGTAAAAGACGACAAGCCAAACCCAACTGAGTGGCCCGACAAATGAAGCATCAGAGAAGGCTCGCGGTCTACCATCATGTCCTTGCCGAGGCGGTGAGTTAGGTCTAGAAGTGGCGGGAGAGGACCGACAGCAGCGCCGCCATCGAGGCTTAGGCCTGGCAGGGAGGGTACACCTACAGACTGCAAGGCCGGCTGGATGACATCAAACGTCTTACCAGGCTGACCAGTTTGACCCCCACGTGGTTTTCAGGTGGCTACTAGGACCAATTTCAGAAGATTGGGTTGGGGGCGCTCCCTGAGAGGCGTGGAGCCGTTGTGAAGCTACCAATGACGCCTCCTTGGGTGGCGACGTTTCCTCGAAATAGTGATCCAGGATCGGGAGGAGGAGCCCTTGGGTAAGGGAAGGTCTATTGGGTTAATGAAGTTGGCAGAGGGCAGAGAGGTCACCGACCACGAGAGTGAGATTGGGAAGAAAAGGTCATCAACTTCTAACCAGATGCAAGGTGGGATGAAGGTAATGTCTAGGACATCCAGGAGAAGACGAATGGAACCAAGAGGAAGCAGTTCAATGGATTTCCAGTGGATTGAGATCAGGTCACCACAAGCTTCTGCCACTCTCCTGAACGTGGGTGGAGACCACGCGTATAGGGGAATGTGGCCCGTCGTGAGCCAAAGTCTCTGCTTCCGATAAGACCCTTCCTTTGGCGACCATGCTCGAAGTATGAAGGTGGCCCCTTTGAAAATAGAGGGGGGGGGTTCCTGTAGGACACGGAGAGCATGTTCGTGTGAGGGGAAGGAAAAGAGTATGTTGCCACTAGAGAGGCGGTGGCAAGTACGGTTTGGCTACACCCAGAGCTGTTGAGCCCATCTTTCAATTCCCCTGACATCATCTCGTCTAGGTTGGAAACTTCCCACTAGGGAAGCAAGAAGTTTGGATCTGTGCGGAGCAGATTCCTTTGCAGGGGTGGAGACGATGAAGGGGTGAACGGGGAAAAAGCATCCGGGGCAGGAGGACACCCACCTGAGGAGGGAGGTGAGGTACCGGGAACAAGGGGTACTTTAGCTGCGGCGACCACCTATGAGAAAGAGGCCTGCAGAGCCGGATTAGACTTTAGGACAAACGGCTTGAGTCCTCGAGTAGGAAGAGGGGGGGGGGGGGAGGCAGAGTTTGAGAAGGCAGGGGTTTAGCTTTGGGATAAAGTTCATAGATTGTGTTCCAGCTGAGAGAAAGAGGGAGAAGACGACGCCTACTCCTCTTCATCTTTTGATTGACTTTGGTTCTTTAGATTTTCCTCTCTCTTGCTTTACTATTACCATTTCTATGGTTTTGATACACAAAGATCACAAGTTCGTAATAGTTAACAGCATCAAAAAAAAAAAAGATCACAGATTCACAGGATTCAACAGCTGTATGACTGCAGAATTACCCTACGTTCTGATGTGATCCACCACCTTCAAGAAACTCATGCAAAGTTCTCATCCTTCAAGAAACTCATGCAAAGTTCTCATCCTTCAAGAAACTCATGCAAAGCTCTCAAATCCAATGATGAGACACATTGATCCCAAGATTTGTGCTTATGGCATTGTGCAAAATTTCAGATAGGAAAAACTAAGATTCTAACGTGCATAGATGAGGATCCATTTCGTACAAAAAATATATAACAAATAAATATGGGGTTTTCCGTGTTTCTTTTTACTACTAGGAAGGGTGAACCTTATCTTTTATATAAATAAAAGATTTGTGCTTATGGCATTGTGCAAAATTTCAGATAGGAAAAACTAAGATTCTAACGTGCATAGATGAGGATCCATTTCGTACAAAAAATATATAACAAATAAATATGGGGTTTTCCGTGTTTCTTTTTACTACTAGGAAGGGTGAACCTTATCTTTTATATAAATAACCTTAGATATGAAATTATTACATAGCTTCCCTAACAAGCAACAAAAATATCCTCCATTAAATTTTTGGTACATTGAAGATATTCCAATGAGTAAATGGTGAAAATGATTCAGGGCATAATCCAATCTATGCATAAGTTTTATCAAATTTTGAGATATTTTTACTTATAAAGAAAAGTTGAGACATTCTAAAATATCTGTGGTTGTATCACTTTCATATTTTTACAGAAAAGAATTTTAAGCAGAGATTTAGTTTTCATAACCACTATTTAGGGGCTATTCTGTGCAATTCAATTTCAAACCATTCAGCTAATAGAACAGTTGTATGCAATGGCTTTGGGTTGTATGGATGGATGAAATTACTAAAAAAGTGGATAAAGAAAAAGACCCCTATTTCAGCATATGCAATGTTTGTATTTAAAACAAAAACTTTATGAACTCCTATATGGGACAGAAAGTATGCAGGTATTTCTTAATAAGGAAATGAGCAACCCACATAGGAAAAACGAAAAGAAAAAAGGATAGGAACAACAATCTAGACATGAATAAAATTCACCTGCCCATATAAACCCCACCCAAACGTCAATAGTGCTCCAGCATCTACAATGATAAAAATAACAAGTAAAAGCATTACACAACAGTAATGTGCACTTGAAACAACACAAAAAAATATAAAATGTGGCAGTCTACATAATGATGTCGACTCTACCACTAGTAATAGAAGTCAAGAAAGTATGAATAAACAATACTATAACAATAGAAAATAAAGGAAGAGGGCCATGTTTGACAACAACCAGAACTGCATATATAGCCACACAAATAGGAAGAATTAGATATCATCATATCAACCACAAATGTCAAATATTGTACAAAGTCATATGGATATCAATAACTTCTTGGTCTAGCCAATACAAGATATCAATAACGTCAGAAATAAAATTTGTTTAATCTATTCACAACAAGCTTATAACGTCAAAACAAGGCAACATTTGGATGCACCAAATTTTTGGCAATCGTGCCGCTTTTTATTATGAATATTAAAGAGTGACAGGAACCCTAGCTTGCTCCCCCACTTTTAGTGAAACAGCCCAACACTACCTAAAAAAATTGTTTTCCTCTATTCCCCAAAAAGAAAAGTGAACCTCTTTGATAATATAACATAACAATGTTATCTAAAAGGAAATAAACCATTGATAAATATCCTTGTAGGTCGATGGCCAGAACAAGCAAATACACCAGTTTGCAAGCCAAGCTAATTCTGCTGTAAGCTTTCCAATGTCTTCCCTAGAATTCATTATGATCAAGTGCGAGCTGCACATCTCATATTTTAATTTGTCCTTAAAGTATTTATTCAAAACCTTAAATTCACCTCAATTTTTTTTTATCGACAAAGCTCCCAACCGTATTTATTGGACTTTACACAAAGTTTCAAGCAGAAAGAGTTCTCTTTGGTATTTCATCTTTCCATTCAGCAATCAATGGGAGCATGTCAAATTCAGAACTTATAAATACAGAGTAGATGACCAAATCATCATCATCATTAAAGCCTTTTCCCAACTAATTGGGGTTGGCTATACGAAACCTGATCTGTCATTATGCTCTATTAAGGGGCATAACCTTAGTGAGGCCATAAGTCGCTACATCTTTTCGGCCTCACTAAGGGTGTATGGCCCTTAATAGAGTAGAATGGCAGACCAAGATTCGTGTAGCGGACCCCAATTATTTGAGAAAATACTTTGATGGTGATGATGATCTACTCTGTATTTATAAGTTCTGAACTTCACATGCTCCCACTGCTTGCTGAATGGAAAGATGAAATACCAAAGAGAAGTCTTTCTGCTTTAAACTTTATGTGAAGTCCAAAAAATACAGTTGGGAGCTTTGTCGATAAAAAAAAATAGAGGTGAATTTAAGGTTTTGAACAAATACTTTTAAGGACAAATTAAAATACGGAACACTTAAATGTAACACCTAAATATGGAACACTTAAAAAATAACTTACTTCCTACCCACAGCCAACAACAGCAGACATACGAAAATATAGTCTATATGGAAAGAAATATTAAAAAATAAATAAAAATAAAAAATATATAAAAAAAATGAAAGTGTAAAAGTTAGGACAGACGCTAGCAATTGCATACGAGGTTCAAGGATGTAAGCCCACATCAAGAATGCAACTGCTTATTAGACACTACTGCATTCTGCAGATATCAGTGACAACAGCAAATTTCACTTGCCAATCTTAATACATGACTCTTGTTTAGGTGCATGTGCTATAAGGCAACTTCCAAGTCATTCATTTTTAAATTTTGTTCACAATTCCGAGCTGAGAAAGTACTCATTAGTCTCAAGTGTTATAGCCGAAGGACTTTATAACCAGCCAGGATTTTAAGCATTTTCAATCACCAGGTCCATGACATACAATGCAATGTCATTGATTGATTGAGGAAACATGCAATGCAAAGTTCATTTTGAGCATAGTAGCCAGAGTATAGAGGAGAACAGACAGACCATCATCTAGGTGGTTACACAACCAATATGCTAGCTACCACACTATTGAAGGGAAAGAGGCCACATATTTTTGGGACACCTTGCACTGCTTAATATGACCCTGAGCATGAGGCGATTAGTAAGTTGAAAATCATGGACTTGACGATAAAGAAAACAAATGCTACAACAGTTATCATATACAACCACACACGTGAAGAGAGAAGACAGAGTTGGTGATGACAAGGGGGACGAGATTTACCAGTTCTTACTTGACCCTTTAATCTATCTTGGCCCAAAAAGACATGCTCAGGGTCATGGCCATTTCTGAACAGTAAAAATAAGCAGGACGTCCGAGCATGCAAAGGGGAAGAAGACTACTGATATTGTTTTACAACCCCAATTTTGGAATGGGCTGGTCTAATCCCTCAAAGCATTTGATCCTTTGGTGAAAGTGTTGGACTTGGAGTGTAGTGAGAAGAAACCACGAATGGGGTATATTACAAGGCAATGGAAGTTGCCAAGGAAGAGATTGTGAGAACTATGGATATGACAAGAAAAAGTATTTATCAATTTTGACGACTGTAGATGTTAAGTGGAATAACCATCCACATACGCCCCTGCATGCAACAAGTGTTTTCTCAACCCCCAATACTTTTATTTGGGTTATATAAATGATTCCAAGGATTGGATCATGGATGGGTATAATATGTGCAACTTGAACTCCAAGACTTCATGACAATAGAGTTCATGATACTCAACCCCCACGTGGAACTGCAAGACCTCACAACAATGGATTTCAATATGTATTAGTTTTTCATGGGGTCATTTGAGACAGATATAACAACAACGAAGACTAATAAATTTCATACAAGTAAACTCCATACTGAACCTGACTTGTAGCTCATTTGGTTGAAAGCACAACTTTAGCTTACATTAGTTGGTAATTTTCAACTTGCGTTGTCGTATTAGTTCCCATAAGTCTTAACTTGAAATATTTTTTTCTGAACTGCAATCATGCATTATCCAACAGGTCCATACGAAAGGACAAACAACTCAAGCAAAAGACAAATCAAAGGTTGAATTAGCACTATTAGGAGCATTTTCATATCAACTGTTTTGTTGGAGAGATATGGACGATATTAATGAGTGAGGATCAAGTGTTCTCTAGAGAACATTTGAGCTAGGGCCAAGTTCGTGAGGTTGCACAACAAAAGCACCAAAGACAGGCCCATCTGATTTTTTTCTTTTTCCTGTAACAGAATAACCATATAGGGGGCTTTGATATCAAAACCAAACCTCCGGAGACCCCACAAAGCTCCAACATGTCTAGGTTGACTCATTCATGTTGAGTAGTTGCTTACTACTGTTGCTGATGCCTACAAAATACAGTAGCATATAATTTCCCACTATCTGTTTATGAGTAGTTGCATACGCACTTAAACCTCCTTTGCAGTTGCAAGCATGGATTGTAATTTTTTCTCTTTATGTTTCTCCTCTTTTCCAAACAATTTAGTTTCTCTTCGTGGGAATAACAGTAGTGACTTAAGTTTGAAATGCTATAAGGCAAAAAGAGAGAAGATCAAATCAAATACATAAATCAGTTATTCTCTAGGTTCTCCATTTTTTGGTTCTATCATCATGGGCACAACCTTAAAGAACATGGCCTGTGTGCACAACCTTAAGGCCTGGATTTTTGTGGGAACAGTCCCTACAAAAACACAAAATAGGTTGCGGTCATGGAATACAATAAGCAATCAGATGGGTACCCACTCAATTAGAGAAAAAGAAATGATTTGGACACTTTTAACCCCACCCAATTCTTGTTTTTCTGGTGCAAAATTATTTTTCCCTAGGTTTTAGAACAAACCAACCAAAAGAAGGGAGAATAAAAAAAAACAAAGAAAATTCTTCTGCAAAACCACAATAGCCAATAAGATAGGGCCCCACTCAATTAGATGGGGGTTGTTTTTGTACCCCAGAGATATTTGCCAAGGATTTGGGCTGTGTTGGCTGGAATAAAAATGCATTTTTTGCCCACTTCCCCAAACTCAAGTCATGAGATCCACTAAACTGGCCCAAATAAAATAATTTGAAATGGTTGAAAGACTACTTCTAGATGTGCATCATTAAAACTGGCTTTCAAGCATAAAGCATAAAGCAGGAAACATAGATGAGATTTAAGCCTTCGAAGAATATAATTCAAAGCATTTGATTAATTAAAAATAAATAAATCAAGGAAATAAAATATGGAATATAACAAGAGACACAAATAGTTTAATACTACAATAAACGAAAGTAAAAATTTACGAAAAACAGTTTTATACTACAATAAACAAAAGTATAAATGTACAGATCTTGTTGAAGTCCAGATAACAAGCATAATTTGTGAATGCCAAATTCTTTCTTTTGTTATTTTGCCTCATGTACGATCTGTGATATCTACCAAATTCACCACATGACTGTGTGTGTGTGTATCTGAATGCTACAAACCTAGATCCGAACACCTTGAATATGTTGGATTAGTTTCCTGGACTATATCTCACTATCCCATTTTAAAATCTTTTATTTCTCTTTCTATCTTGTACATTTTCCATATAATCACCTGTTCATCGAAGCATTCGAATCACACAGTACAAGTACATGAAGAGGCTAGCTTATGTGTATCACCTGGCAGGCAACCAAATATAATCCTAAGAGGACTCTCCAGCATATGCTCTACTGCACCGAATTAAGAATTGCTGAATAGACATCATTCACAAGGGAGAATACCTAGAGTTTTAATGGGACTATGAAACGTCAGATTTATATACCATGTATGTTGAGTTTAAGGAAAAAGTGCCCCTCCATTCTGAATGCAGTGAATGGCATAAAAACCTAATTCTCAACGTGTTTCAATAACCATTAAGCACATGACTAATGTAATTTTTTTCCTTGTTAGTGTATTGGGACCTTTTGGGTATTAAACAGGACCAAGCAAACAAATGGTCTCATGCCCAAAGTATTCTTATTACTTAGTAGGAAACAAGTAGACAGTAAATAGGAATCTATAATGTCTTAAGATATTTAACTAAGGTTCCTTGCCAAAAACAATTACAATGATAGAAAATTGGCTAATCAAGTTGATATACCATTTTGAGTGTGCGTCAAATGTGAGCGCCAGTGATAATTTGGTAAGGCAAGTTGACATCCAAACTAAGTTACCAATTGTGAACATGGAATACTAAAAAGGAATTCCAAGAGCCACAAGAATCTTTGGGTAAAGTGATTGATTGTCAGAACATAGACATATTTTAGAAAAGGGATTCGCTGGTACACTCCAAATTTCTGACTCATGGTGACAGTTTCAGTAATTCATTACATATTTTTGACCTTTCACTTTAAGCAAGCCATGGATCATTTTGGGCATCATTCTTTGCTCAGGCTCAAAGATCCTCAGAGTGAAGAATAAATCCAGAATCCAGATGAAATACAGTACGAGGTTTTTACATGGCATACATAGAAAGATCAGGGATGATAATATTAAAGTGGCACTCTAACCTGTAATTACAGCACTATGTCGACCACCACAGGCTATTGCTTTTATATAACTGCCAAAAGGCTTGAAAACTTTATCATCAAGAAGATTACTTCCCCTAAAACTTGGTTGTGGTATTTGTTTCCAATAGGAAGATGCTTCAATACAAGCGATAGGATGAGGAGATGAAACTGCTGGAATGCGAGATCCCAAGCCCAGCTGACCTTCCCCACCATAGCCCCAGCCCCATACTTGACCCATATCTGAAACTTCAACAAATGAAGTATGGCTTAGAGTTGGTGTATTTGAGCTTTTAGTTACTCAAACCATTACATACGCATTTAACGTAGGAAAAGACATGAGCATGTTAGCTCAGTTAAATAGACACATGAGAGAAATGATAAAATTTCCAACTTCATCACCAAACAAGGGGAGAATAAATCTACCTGACAAGGCCAATGTATGACGCCCACCAGCAGCAACCGCAGAAACCTTCACTCCTACACTCAATGTGACAAGACATGGGTTTGCAGAAATATCTTCATCAGAAGCATTTGACTTTTCAGCAGATTGTTTACCCATAGCCAGCCTTCTACGCTTTGCACCTTCATTGCCAATCAAAACATGAGAAAATATGGTGGTCGATTTGAGAAGCAACTTTCACCTTTTTTTCTTTTTTTTTTTGACAAATAACCAGCAAAGAAAATATCGTATCGCATATTTGGACTTAACCAAGCAAATCATACCTTCCAATGAATCACTTTGAGAGAATCCAGAGAGAACTGATTTACTTCTAGTTCCAGTTAATGAAGTGCACCAAGATACATCAGACGATGTACTAGGTGAAGCATCCACAAGATCATGGTGGTCACTAGAAGTGGGCCTAGTTTGTAATTTTTCATCGACATGGCTAGGCAATGACCCGCTTGAGCTTGCAGGCAGAGCCTTATCTGAAATTTGTCCAGTAACTGGATCTGGCATTGTCTTCCCAGTTGGAACACACTCTTTCCAACCCCATGTGTAGACTTCTCCACTTTCTAGGTTTAACAAGGGTCAATCAGTCAGTTGTTTTCATTTGAAGTAGCATAGAAGAAAAAGAAGACATTGAAAATGTAAAAATTTTACTGATTTACTGAATCCTGAATAGCATCAAGCACCTGTGGCAGCAACACAATGAGCCCACCCTGCAGCTGCCTTCACAATAGCAGAATCAGTTGGAAGAGGAAACGGCTCTGGAGTCCGCTGAAGAAAGTTCCCAACAAAGTAAGTTTAGACAGCCTGACACCTAACATCAGGCTCACGTGTTGATTTAGAACATGAAAAGAAGCCCATTTATTGAGCTTAAAATCAGTAGATACATAGATACATAAAACTTTTCCACCTCATGTTTCCCCGAAGCCACATAACTTTGGCCTAGATCATCTGTGGAGCCCCAAGTATGAAGCTTTCCTGATTCTGATCAATAAATAATAGGCATAAGCACTTGAATTAGTAGGGAACAAAACCAATTTTCTTGTGCATTACATTTCAATATCGATGAAAAGATCCCAAAACTATTTTATTATGCAAACGTAATTGAAGAATGTAGATAGCAGTTCATGTCATATAAGGAAATATATTGCAAAGATTGACCTTAGTAGTTCTAGATTTGACCTGCTGAAAACTTATAGAAATGTGAAAGACCTCTCAAATACACGAAACATCAGATTCAATTGCAAGCTAGTGAGTGCTTTTTCAATGAACATAAACACAACATTTTCCCAGATTGAGCAACAAATGAAGAAGCTGGAAATGTGTAACACAATAAGATCAGTGGCAAGGGACCTGCAACAGAACAGCTGCATCCAAGTTTATTGATTATATTGTACTCATGATTAGGTTAATTAGGTGTCAACTCTCAAAGTAATATTTAGTCCATTCAGAATCATATGAATATACTAATTATTTATTTCAAATAAGTTATAAGACAGAAATATAATGTACTGACACAAGATAAGTCTCTGTTTATATAATTGATATATCTTGTGGAGAGAGAATGTTAAGAAACTCCAAATGGTTTCTCAGAATGTAATGATTGGAGCATCATAACTAAATGACAAAAATGATAGATACACAGTACAAATATCATTATGACATTAATGAAACGATTAGACCTAGGTACAATGTGGCCTAGACTTGTAGTCAATATCATCCCACAATCTAAGTAGCAAGAAGCTACAGAACGACCTTCAATCTAAAAAATTCTGTACCTGTCCCATGAGAGATTATAGTTGGTTATGATATCAGCCAAGTGAGCGGCATGAAACATCAGATGTGAATACTACCCAAACATATCATGCTCACTTCAACTAGAAAATTTAGTGAAAGCACTTATCAAGGAAATTATTCCATGATTGAAATAATTAACGTGTTCATGATCCCATGGTTTATCCCATAAACTTAACCATAGTAGAGAATGATTCTTGGTCCTAAAAGTGAATAACCGAATTTTAGAAGATAGTAAAGTCAAGTAATTCACTTACAATTAGTATGCACTTGACGTGGATCTTGTGAATTTCAGATTGCCATACAATGAGATGAGTTTAGAACCAAAAGACACTACAGAAGCCTGCCTCTCCACATTTTAGAGCCAACAGAAATCCATACTAGAGAAGAAAATGAGAATGCTAGGCATGGATGGCAAATAAAGTAAACTTGCAGTCGCACTGCCTCTAATGTAACTTATTATGTTCTTTGTTGCCTATATGAGTTTTAGTAGATTTTGAAAAAACCCAAGAACCACGTCAAACCAAGCAAAACAAAAAATATCGAAGTCTAAGTCTCCCCAAAACTGCCTCACAGTGAATTGAATTAGTAGCAGGACTGCTTTCTTGTATAAAAGCTTGTGAAGGAGGACAGGTGCAGGTAAACAGCTTGGCAAAAAGCATTTTGGATTTGCAGAACTTACAAGGCATAATTGTGTAAGTCGTGCCCTTGAGAATGATATTACAATTAACATATGGGGGAAAACTTTAATGGCTCTGATGTTATTCAAGAATTCCGATGATGTGATGATCCATAATCTTTGAAAATAAATAATAACAAAATATTGGCATTAAGATATGTTCCTCCAGGCCTCTCATTTATGAAGCAATGAGGATGATCAAGAAGTTAGCTTTTGAGCTGATTCGAGTTCCATCTTGTTTGAGGATTTAAAGAATTTTTGCAGTCCATGTTTAAAGGACTTTGCCTTATAGACCTGATTAACCTAGCAATGTGAGGATCAGGAGGTCCCCTGCAGCCTGTCCCATTACATATGTAGGCAATTACTATCTTACTTCAGTAAGCTCTGATCTCCCAACTATATAAAAGATGGTCCTCCAAGGGTTCAGTGCATCCGTGCTATTACATTAGCACAACGGATTGGAAGTCAATGCCACAATATCCTGTTTTCATTAGAGATGATTTCTGGCATGGTTTCCTAGGAAGGTCAGTCGCTCTAAGCAATTCATGTTTGATATTTTGGTTCTTTATAATATTTTGATGTTATTCGCCAAGATGGTCTACGCCATTCATCATATTTTAGTGTTGAGAATGCAGTACATGTACTCTCTACGCATTACGGGGATCTGTAAAGGCATTTGTTGAGACCAGGAACTAAGTAAACTTCAAATGCATATCCAGTGCAGTTCGTCCTCAGGCCTGAGTCCCGAATACACTTCACAGCCTTCCAAATGTTAGATTATAATATTTATAAAGAATGTCTGTTTCCAATGTTGTAAAACATTAAAACGTTATTTCAATAGTTGAATTCTTCATAGACGCAATTCTCTCTACCTCAAATTTATTCAACCCTGCACACTACAGGTCAATGAAATGATACACCTTTCATCCTCAAGACCAAAAGGTCATAGAATCCAAAGAACAAGAAGCCAAACCAAAACCAACTGAAGACTCCCCCCCCCCCCCCCCTCCTCGAGAAATTGAAGTATCACCCTGTACCTTTCCTTCTTCCTCCATCTCAACTACAGTTTTGGTGCTCTTAGCCAAGTCACATGTTCTTTGGTCTCAATAGATGCAGATACATAACGCATAAATCATTGCAAACTCAATTCACAAATTAGTACGAGTTTAAGCTATAATTGGATGTGTGAAACATGCCTTCTCATTCCATGAAGAATCAATCAAATGTCTACTTACTGTGGTCTCCAGCCCTTAGATTCAGGCTCCAAAATCTCCGGACTAATCGATCATTCCGGAAGTAGAAAAAATGAATACAAAGAGAAAGAGCACCAAAAAATTTGTTCTGTCTAGCTCTCTCTATGTCAACTCTCATTAGGATGTTTGGTGGTGCCTTGAGCTCATTCGTTCCAGTATCCACAACATAGTCAAAGCCAAATAACACAATACAGAACTGAAAGCAACAAGGAATTGCCCAAGAAAAGAAAAAAGCCAAATGCATCAATGTGCAATTCAGTACAAGAAGATAACAATAACAGTAAAAGACCCGCACTATTAGCAACAATAACCGATCAAACAACAATAACAAAATAAACGAACACTGATAATCCCTTCCATTATCACCAAAATAGCACATACATTGAATAAGGTTCATCAATTTGTCCTTCCATTTTTACTACAAATAGAAAAAAAAAAAAAAAAAAATTAAACGAAAGCAGCTCCTTCCATTTCCCAGCACAAATCAAGCGCAAATCAAAGAAATCTACCAGAAATGGCCACGGCAAAGCCGCATCCGCCACCGCATACATCCTTCCATTGCTCACCGTTGGATGGTCTCTCGACACGAGTTGGGACAAAGAGAGGGCCTCTCTCTGGTGAAGAACCAGGGAGGTAACCCCACATGAAAACCATGGGGGACCCCTCCTTCTTCTCCAGCATTACTGCTGGACCCAAAAATGGAGCTAGGGCTCCTTCCTATTCTTCTTTTCCACAAGGACAAAAAAGGGATCAGCTTGAAGACAAACCCTAGCCCTAAAGCATACAGAAGAGGAAAGTTTTAATAGGATTTCTGTGAAGAGAGGGCTCATACAGAGTGAGCAGCTTAGAGAGAGAGAGAGCTGAGTAAAGTCAGTAAACAAAAAACGAGAGAGAGAGAGAGAGAGAGTAAACAAAAGAGCGAGTGAGGGGGTGAGGAGGAGAAGAGGCGGGGGGGTCAAGTGGGGGGAAGCCCCCACCGTATATATTTCAGGGCTATGGCATTGTCCACGTGACCTTTACGACGTGGGTGACGAACATGTGGCATTTCGAGGGCCTTTAAAAAGGTTCTTTGTGGGCCCCACTTTGGTGGGCCCAAAAACTTCTGGGTGGCCTTTGATTAGAGACTGGCAGTGGAAACGTGGGAAAAGAGGGGGAAAGCTGATATCCGCCGAAATTATGGCCACGAACATTTCGCCGAATTTGGACCAAAATTTCGTGTATTTTGAGCCCCATATGTATAGATAAGTGGCCTCGTCGATCACCGTTGAAAGCTTGAGATCAAAACATGAGCCGTTTGTATTATTAACACCACCGGTGGCCTCACCAGTGCTGTGGCCTGCGTCTTCCAGTTTTGCCGTCGTGAAAATATTTAAAAATGGAGCTATCGGTGATGATGTCAATCCAACATGCTTACAAGTTACGTAACGAGCAACCCTTCGACTTATAGTCGACGTTATTTTGGACGGTGGCGTGTCAAATGGCCAACAACCTCTCTAGTAGTGTTGAACGTCACTACTAGCTAGCATTTTCACGTTCAAAATTGGTTTGGACAATGGTGGCATTATTAACACCACCGGTGGCCTCACCAGTGCTGTGGCCTGCGTCTTCCAGTTTTGCCGTTGTGAAAATATTTAAAAATGGAGCTATCGGTGATGATGTCAATGCAACATGCTTACAAGTTACGTAACGAGCAACCCTTCGACTTATAGTCGACGTTATTTTGGACGGTGGCGTGTCAAATGGCCAACGACCTCTCTGGTAGTGTTGAACGTCACTACTAGCTAGCATTTTCACGTTCAAAATTGGTTTGGACAATGGGTGGTCGTTTTAGCCAATGAAAAAGTGACATTATTTGTATCATCATTCAATGTTGGGACCCCCATCGCATGTGCAACGATGGTTATTTTATGCCGCAAACTAAGCATTCTATTGCTTGACGATTAGCAGCATTTTGGGCTAATAAGATTGTTGATCATGGAGCATTCCTACCATCAGCGTCACAAGTAATCGTGACCCTCTGCAACCGCATTCCAAGGGTATCAATTTTGTGACTTGAGCCACCGTCCGTTAGGTGTTGCTAGTATGATAGTCGATGTTGGAACTCCCAGCGCCGTGCCAACACTATGGCGTCACCACCCCAAAATTTGTTTGAGGATTGAAAGTGATGTTTTTTCTTTTTGTTAACCTTGGTCCAAACGCTAGCCTTTCGTGTGTGTCGGAGCCACACATGCATCACCCCTCCCACAAGCTACGGAGCACTCATTTTCGTCCTTGCTAGATCCAGAGTTTTAAAACCCAGTGATTTGGGTCGGCAATCACCGATAGAGACTAAGATCAGCTAGGACCGAAATAGTTCTGGGAATGCAACGGTCCTTGCTTGGTTCACCCTTCAAATCCTCTTTTTCATAAAAAAAAAAGTTTCAAGCTAATTTATATTTTTTTAGGTCCCCTTAAATCCTAAATCCTATAAACCACTATTTTAATATTTATTTAAGTTTAATTTTAAATTATTTTTTTGGATGATTGATTTAGACAGATTCAAATCGCTAATCCAACAATCTTACATGGATATATGGGGTGGACTTTCCACCCACTAATGTGAGTTTTAAAACTCTGGCTAGACCTTTTGAAGCGAAATTCTATTGTACGAGGCTTGGCCACAATTGGCATCTCCAAGTAAGGACAAAGCACAAGGTGGAAGTTATTGTTTTAGGAAAAAAAAGAAAAGAAGAAAGAGGAAGAAAGACTAGGTGGAAGTTACGAAGCATTTTAGGAAAGCTTGAGGCCGTCCAGTTCAACTAATCCTGTATAAGGGCCTCCTCCTCTTTCCCTTCTTAATCCACATTAAAAGCGTCATAGGGCCAGTTAGAAGTGTCATTTATTTGTAAAACCGGTCTGTTAGAATCGGAACTGCTCGGTTAGATCGCTATCGGTGGGGTGGTGATTCCGGTTAAGGCCGGTTTTAAGGTACACTATGTAAGACTGCACTTTCCAAAAAAAATCAAGACCAAAACCGACCGGTTCAATGTGGAACCGACGGTTTTTCTTCAAAACTGATCGGTTTTCCTAACCGGTCCGGTTTATCGTTGTTTTTGTCCGTTATAACGCCGTTTTAACACATCAAATAACTGCCGTTATTTGACCCATGCCCGTTATTTTTCATAGAACAAGATTTTGCAGCGTTTTTTTTTCTTCCATTTTGTATTTTTTTTTTCGGTCAAATATTGATGTTATAAACCATAAACTTTCTATAGATCATCGATTATTGAATCAAAAATCGAAAAACAAAGAGTTCTTGGCGGATTGAAATGGTGATTTTTTAAAATTAGAAATTTCTGTCATTCTATCAAATGCAGGTTTAATACCTTATATATTTTTATAAAAATGGAGGGCTTTGATTGATTGTTGAAGGATTCAACGTTTACATATTTCAATTTTTCCAAAACGATGAAGATTTGAGGCTTTTTTGGGCCCGAAGTATTGTTGCTCGAAGAACTATTTTTATCCAAACAAATTGATTTCTTATCGATCAATTGATCGATTTTTATGGAATTGATCACTGAACTATGATCATAAAGGCCTTATCTATCAAATAAACTAGTTATTTTGATTTTGCTATTGATTAAATATTTTTATATCGATTTTTTTGCTGTGTTTTTTCCTGAAATTTTCGTGAAGTGAAAAATCCGCAATTTTTTGAATAAAGATCTCAATAGTGAATAAATTTTCATGAAATTTGGGGCATTTGAATCTTAATTGAATTATCTATCATATCCCCATGTCAATTTGTTCAAAAAATGAAAGATTTGGGGTTGATTTCGACTCTAAATTTTTTGTGTTCTTTGGCTTGATTTTAAGATTCTTAAAAGAAATTTGTGTTTTTAATAAAATTACGTTTTGTTTTTATAAAAATATGTAATTTGTGATGAATATGAGAAAAAAAAAGAATACATTCTTTTTTAAAAAAAATTATATATTTTTTGGTGAGCTTGTTGGATTGTTTTTCGGGGAAATATATTATTGTCCTCTATTTTTAACTTCTATATCTTATCAAACCCAAGAATTGGAAATATTACTTGTAAGCAAAAGGACTCCATCTTTTCTATCTTCCAACCCCCTAAACCCTTTTGAGCATATACTATTGACTTCAACAACTTATGAAATGACTATATCTCTCTCTCTCTAAAACTCAATCTCTCTCTCTCAAAACTCCATCTCTCTCTAAAACCCAAATTCCATCTGTCTCTCACATCATCATCTCTCTCCCTAAAACTCAAACTCCATCTCTCTCACACACATAAGAAGGTGTGCTCGTGTTCGAGCTCAAGCTAAACCCCTTGACTGGTAAACTCGTCGAGAAGAAAAGAGAAAGAGATGGAGTTTGAATAGTGTATCATTGTAGTGTTTGTTTGGGT